GTGGGTGACGACATTTACGTTGTCGATGAGGTGGAACTTGAGCTCGACTACTTATCTAAGTAATAATAAAAAAAAACCATTAAATCACCAAGTATAGTACGAAAATATTTCCATAAGAGCCTTTAATAAAGTCGATATAAATAAGTTTTTCAAATAAGTGGATGGATACGCGTCGAGTGACGCTTTCTTACATATTTTATTAGCGAGCGCGAAAAGAGATATAACCTAAAAAAATATTAATAAAATCGCGAGAGACGGTAGAACATCAAACATGTTTAGCCGGATATAACCGGGTACGGCTCGGTCCCTCGGTGGATAGCTGATAGCAAACAGCCGCAAATTATAAGTGGGCGTACTGAAAACGACTCCTTGGGCGGCCATAATAATATCTTCGAGGGAAAAATGGTAGTGTCTGGGATGCGCGAGGGGCGATGCGGTTTGAACGCTGATGCGTTTTTAAGGCAAACGATTACGCAGAGTAAATCGTAAATCGATTAACACATTACACATTTATTCCATTTGATTTTAATATTTGAAAGCAATTAAAATTAAAATATAATAGCGATAGAAAAAATGCCAAGAAAATCGTTGGAAAAAAAACAAAATGGCCGCCATCGAAATCGCTTCAGGCCGATAACTTACGCGCCGTTCTGAAGTTGGCTGAGCTAAATCGATCGAGGCAATACACTTAAATCGATTCGCGTACATTTTTGGCTTAGTGCAGTTCGTTACATTAATTTTTCAACTTGATTTCGAACTGGGATCCGAGTGAATGTCCATCGGTCGTGTTATAAATATTAAGATGTTTTTAGTGTCTATGGATGTGATGTTTGTTGAGAGGCACCTTTGTGCGTGAGTCTGGATACTGACCTTGTGACCTTATTTATGGCGCCATGCCCCGTTGCAGTGCACGAGATCGCAACTCATGTAATGATAAAATATCGTACCTTGAGACAAAGGTCGAAATCTTAAGGGATTCTTGCTTGAATTTAGAAAATCAGTTCTATAATTATCAATATACTAGCTGACCCGGCAGATTTCACAGTGCCTCAATCGATAATAAAAGACCTAAACTTTTGTATAAAATAAACTTAAAACTTAAAACAAACAAAAGGAAGTAGTCGTCCGACAGGGGATTTTTATTTAATTCCGAGCATTTTCATATTCATCTACCTTTTAAACCTTCTCTGGACTTCCACAAATAATTCAAGACAAAAATTAGCCAAATCGGTCCATCCGTTCTCGAGTTTTAGCGAGACTAACGAACAGCAATTCATTTATATATATATAGATAAAGATAGATTGTTTTTAATCACTATGACGTCATTTAATCAAAATCGTCTGCTTTTTAAAGCAGTATCTATTTATGATTTGGTTCCCTTTTGTACAGCGTATTGATTTGATTTAGTAAATAAAATAAAAAGTCGTTTATTAACATTTTCTTTATTCAAGTGCTCGAACGCGTTTTTAAAGCAAAGAGATGACGTAGCTCTAACACGAGGATATCCTATTGAAAATCCTTTACAAATCACTACAATAAAAAAAAAAGAAATCTTTTGTTAACTACCAATTTTATTAACGGGCGACGCTACAAAGGAGCGTCATTAATGACGGAACGGTAATTTTTCACGGCGACCGAGAAAAAAATACATCGTTTTTTTAACGTCCATAAAACGTTAAACCATTGTGCGTTGTGACAAAGAAGGCTCTAACGGCGAGTGTCAGCCGGGTAAACGATAAAAAATAATGCAAATTCACTCTTGAGCCTCTTCGGTGTTGCCAGATTCAGGTTACCGTTAGTAATCCAGGGAAAAATGATAATGTTGAGATGTAAAATAGGTGTACCCCCAAGATCTGCCTTTCTTTTGACATTACCGTAGTTGGACTGACGATTGACTTTATGAGGAATGTAATTTAGTTTGCTGCTACGTATGTTGCCAAATAAGTGAAAAGCAGAGAATCAATATAATAAATAACAGGACGGAACAATCACCGAGCCATTTACGAAAAAACATTGTAATGCACGCTGTAACAGTAACATCCATTTTGAGTTTGACTAGTTCTTATAATACACTACCAATTGGCTTAGAATCATGCAGGTTGACATAGATGCTGATTTCAATTCGGCTGCCCCACCCTTCAAACCGAAACGCATTACTGCTTCACGGCAGAAATAGGCGGGGTGGTGGTACCTACCCATGCGGACTCACAAGAGGTCCTACCACCAGTAAATCCAATTAATGGGAATTTCGTTGAAACTTCTCGCCTCAGCAACCCAGTTCCGTCAAGTGTAACAATGTACGAGATCGGTACAAGATAAAAGAGTTTTTTAAGTTTCGATATCACGACACTCCTCGAAGTTAAGCTCGTAAACTTGTTCAGGTGTTCCTAGTTTTAAGAGAGGAAAGAAAAACGATTGAGTTTGTGTCCTACTGTTGTACTGTTGATATTCTATAGCTGGCTCGAGTTCGTGGGCCCCAATTTAAACCGTGAAAGAAGCCATCACTTTCCCAAAGCAAATGTTTCAAAGATCGTCCTGTCTTCAAAGACTTTTTCTCTTTCTCATTGATCGTTTAGACAAAGTATCAGATGGGTACGCTCCCATTTTATGGTTATGTCCGAATTAAAAATAACGACAGCCAATACTGTTTGTTCTCGACGTTGCTTTCACAAAAAATATTTTGATGAGTTTCTGTACGAAATAATCTGGGATAATGCCGACGAAATTTAGTATTATAACCTGTTATTTTGTACTTAATTTAGGGGGTAGTTGTGAAATTGGTAACGATAAAAACAAAATATTATGATTGTTAATCAGAATATACTACAAGTTCTTGCATATTTTTTGGTGTCATAAGCCAATTTGTTAGTCCCATTTTTGTGATGAAAGTGTACTCTGTAGGAACATAAAGTAGTTTCCTGGGAGCAGATGCAGAACGTTATAGCAATTACATGTTGGTCTCAAAAGAAAACTCATTAGGGCCACATTAGAACCAATCTATTGAGTGAAGTGTCACAGCGATCTTTCTTTAAAATCATGCAAATTATAATCGAATGCAATTACACAGAGAACGATTTTCGGCATATCATAGAAACAGCTAGCGGTCTTCTCAAACGCTCGAATTAATTCCCCATCTTCGAGTTAACGCGAAACTTGAAGCCCGTTTGTACCGAAACTACAAGGCCGAACTTGTCTTGGAAATCGCTAACTCGCTATCTAACTAATAAACAATCGCTTCAAACGTAATTTTCTGGTTATAGTGTAACGAGCATGTAGTTAGACGAACTTCTAGCGAGAGTGTTTGTATTCTATGTTCGATAGGTGGCGCTATTATACATAAAAATTTGAGGGTAGTTTGTGAATTTATCAAACCTCGTTACTATTTGTTAAAAATATTGGATCAGCGTCGGAAATATTGATGCAGTCCTAATTGCTTTGGAATAAGGTGCAGAGTCGAACCGACGGCTATCTTAAAATATACCACCGTAAAAGTAATATTAATATAATAGTTGGGTACACAAAGTCACGGGACTCATAATTACTCATTTAAGCATGATGTCAAATCTTTAATTGCCAAACTTCTGGTATATGATGGATATCTAACTAAAATAATAAATTATTTCCAGCAGAAATAAACAAAGCATTGAAATAAAACTTTGTCACTGTACGACTTTATTTAGTGTCGTAATTATTGTCGAATAAAAGTATTTTCACCTAATGTAATCGTAGGTTTTGCTAGCGTTGTTTTTCCCTTTTTATTCGCAAACAAAACGAAAAAGATACCACCTGAATGATAGAATAATTCATTTAAACAAATGGCGTGTCCGCGGCCGAATTCCGTACATCCTATTAAAACTATGGCAACAAAGTTTTTCATCAAACAAGAGGAGCTCTGGTTCATGCAAATTCGCTTGATTTATTTGACGAAAAGTGGTCGGATCCGTCCGGGCCGAAAACACGCAATTATTTATGTACAAATAACAACTACTATTTTTTTTCGAACGTGGATCTCGTTTTATATTTTTTAGTTTTTTTAAAATAAGATTATCAATTGTGAATTGAGCAGTTGATTGATTTACTAATTACAGCTTTTTTTAAGAATTGTAAAGTAAGATTTAATAATAGTAAATTAATAGCTGTAGGTCACGTGGAAGGAAAGAGAAGTCGAGGAAGATTGCCAACCAGGTGGACGGACATTGTCAAGGAGGCCACAAACACCAGCGTCCCGGGCGCCATTAAGCAGGCCGAATGCAGGCAACATTGGAGGAAGCTGGTGCAAAAACTGGACCAAGGTGGTCACGACCGTCAGTAATGAGGAAACGACAAAGAAGAAGAAGAAGAAGAAAGTAAGATTTTAACCGAATATTTTAACTGTTGCAATATTCTGGTCATTTAAACTAAAACTCAACGCAACTTGGTTTTATCTATCCGAAACACGACCGAGTAGAAAAGAAAATAAAGTCTTATAATAACAATATCTTTAAGCAGTAGCTCAGCCGATAACTGATAGCATTGTTTGTTGTGAACTAACACTAATGTTTGACAAACAAACACACGGGGTGTCGATAAAATATCGTCCATCCATCATTGAGAAGAGATATTTGGACTTTGGTATTGACATCTATTCTGTTATAGTAAAGGTTTATTTTAGATTATTTTTTATGTCGTAAAATGTTGATGCTAAGTTTATTGGATTGCCTGATTCGTACTTACCGGATGCTACAGATAGTCTCGGTTCTAAAAATTAGACTATATATTACGATCCTTAATAATAAAAAGGGATTTTAATTTTAATATCCCAGGGCTATGAATAGCTGTAGGCTCTGTGGAAATATGACTACATTAAAATATTTACTTTATTTATCTCTTTTAAAGAGAATCGACTTGTAATCGAGAACAAATGTTATGTGCTCTTCGAGTATAACACCGTGAAATACTGATTAATACACTCGATACACTACGGCTGAAAGTGAAGGCGAAAGTATAACTAATGTTTTTTTTAAACGTCCATCCTCGGTGCATATCGAAACATGTACTCACGTTCGTGATCAGGCCGGTCGTATGTAGATCTCAGCATACCTGTAACAATTTTGTTGCAAATGTTAGTGATGAATGTAATCGAACCAAAACTATTTATGTTTGCATGTTTGAGGCAATAATAGTATGAACTAGCCTAAATTGATCTCGAAATTCGTTCACTTATCTTTTTATTGAATCTACCCTAAAGTTACGCAGATAAGATTTTAATTTGCTAAATATTTGTTCATAGAAATTTAATCGATGTCGTTTCCAGCCATAAACTTCTATTGAGAAGGTGTGAAATTAACAAACACCTATGTAGTTTTAGTACCAAAACAAACATAATTGAGTCGTCTATTATCAAAGGTGGCAATCTGTGCATTTGTACAAAAAAATGTTATTGATATGTCAATACAGATTGATTTGAATATAATCGTCTCCTTCAAAGAATACGGTTCAAAACCTGCATTAAATAAAGGTTAATACTTAACCTGTTATTTATCTAAGATGTCGTTCAGAAGAGTTTTGTGACTGCCAATGGAATACAAAGTCAATAATTCGTTTTTCTGATTTACCAATAATTGTCCAAAAGTCACATTGCCGGCTTTGATAATAGTCGACTCATATATGATCAATATCAACGTAATTTGCAGTCAATTGATTCTAATATGACATGTAAGAGCCCCTATTTTAAATTTGGCCACATTGTAAAGCGGAGTAGCTTAACTAAATTGGAGCTGTGACTGGACACTGAAAATATTGGAATTCGTCTGTGAAAGAGGAACTATCCGACTATCACCGACCTCCAACCATCCTATCTTACCTATTTGCTTAACATATCGAGGGATGAAACTATTTGGTTTAATCGACTTGGCGAGTTTGAATTTATCTTTGTAAGCAAAGAAAAGAATGGGGTGCCTTCGACGAAACCTACGCTCAGCATTGGGTGGACACGTGTTGAAGAAGAGGTCTTTGTAATTAAAGGTGCGTTTTATTTGGTATTACCGTTCATGTTTTTAATTGAATTTCATTCAAGTAAAGTCGCAAAAATGTGTGGTGGTAGGACCTCTTGTGAATCCACACGGGTAGGTACCACCGCGCCGCCTATTTCTGCCGTGAAGCAGTAATGCGTTTCGGTTTGTAGGGTGGGGCAGCCGTTGTAACTATACTGAGACCTTAGAACTTATATCTCAAGGTGGGTGGCGCATTTACGTTGCAGATGTCTATGGGCTCCAGTAACCAGATAACACCAGATGGGCTGTGAGCTCGTCCACCCATCTAGAAGCAATAAAAAATAATAATAGTAATAATACATAAACATTTAATGGAGGGTGACAGTCGTGATACCAATGTAATTGGTACTTTAATCTCATGTCTGAAAGTGTGGATACGCTTAACTCCTAGCGAGAGGAGAGGCAGCATAATAAAATAAATATGTAATATAATGGCTTAAAAACACTAACAACATACGCTTTTATAAATAATCCACCTAAAAAATAGAAAATAAAATTTAATATATTTGAATTAAAAATAGTGTAAGAAAAAATGATTTTATTGTAAAAAAACGTGGGGTTTTTAATTTTTTAGTTGAATTTTAATTTCATCAATTTTTTTTTTGTTTCCGTTTTTTTTTTATAATTGAATTGTCATCAGCCCTTAATAAGTATACCAAATTTCGAGTTAATCCGACGTTTTGAAGGGAGTCAAAATCATGTTCATAGATTCCGTTACATACCAACATACATACATACGTCTGAAGCTAATAAAAGCGTATAAAAAAGAACAAGAATGATCTCCAAGAACAGTCCGACTTCACAAGATTCTTGAGAGATATTTAACCGTAAAACCGTTGGTAATACAAAATGGAGCAATTACTTTATTTAGCGATCGTTTTGTTTAGGTTGAAAGCGAGCCGTTGTTATGACGACCGGTTCTGCTGCACGTGATAATTGACCTGTCTAAAGGCTCGGACACATCACCGGTGTTCACCGTGCGGCAGTATTTACAAATTTGTCGAGTGTCTTTCGTGTGGTAGCTAGAGTACGGTCGCAACTGATATTCGCAATAATGTAATCGAGCCTTTAGTTTGGATTTATTTTAATTTTAATATAATTGTTGTATTTTTTATTGTATTGCTTAGATGGGTGAACGAGCTCACAGCCTAGTGTTAAGTGGTTACTGGAGCCCATAGACATCTATAACGTAAATGCCGCCACCCACCTTGAGGTATAAGTTCTAAGGTCTCAAGTATAGTTACAACGGCTGACCTCACATTTTAAGCCGAAACACATTACTGCTTCACGGCAGAAACAGGCGGGGTGGTGGTGGACTCACAAGAGGTCCTACCATCAGTATTTATTGCAATCAGCAAAATGTTAGAAGAAAGATCCAGAAAAACAGTATAAAATATCCCTAGTGGTATGAGTTTCAAGGGTATATTAATGCAATGCAATTGAAACCTCGACCTGTTATTTACACGCCCGAAGGATGCCCGCTGCTATTGGTTCCGGTATCAACTGATCACCACATTATCTCTATCTATCTATCTATATATATAAAAATGAATTACTGTTCGTTAGTCTCGCTATAACTCGAGAACGGCTGGACCGATTTGGCTAATTTTGGTCTTAAATTATTTGTGGAAGTCCAGAGAAGGTTTAAAAGATAAATATGAAAATCCTCTGAATTAAATAAAAAAAACAGTTTTGTTTTTCCTTTGATGTGTCCCCCGTCCGACGGATGCCTTTTGTTTGTTTTTAGTTTATTTTATACAAAAGTTTAGTCTTTTATTTATCAATTGAGGCACTACGAAGTCTGCCGGGTCAGCTAGTCCTCAATAAATAAGGTGTATTTGAATCATTTTCTCCTCGGCCATTATAAGTTAATAAAATCTCGCGAACCACGTACCTATAGAATAATTAAAAGAAAATAAAAAACCGTAATTTGCATTTGATTGTCACGCGATCACTATTTTATTAAGAAAAGTCGTTAAACTCGAATACTTTTTTAAAATTCTTTAGTAATACTTAAAGTGAACTGTTGTGAATTATTTTATGTTAAGTTTAATTTAAATAATATAATTAAAAAAAACTGTAAAACGGAGTTTAATAATAAAAATCCATCAAAATACGCAATATCCTTTAATCTGATGATTTAATTGATTAGCAAGTTAATTTGATTTAGAATCAAACTGATTAACTGGTTTTGATGAAATTTCATTTCAATCCTAAAATATAATATTTGTTTACAAATCCTTTCCTAAATGTCGGAGTCGTTTTGTTATCTAATATATAAAATTCTCGTGTCACAATGTTCGTTCCCATACTCCTCCGAAACCGCTTGACCGATTCTCATGAATTTTTTTATGCATATTCAGTAAGCCTGAGAATCAGCTACTATCTATTTTTCATACCCCTAAGTAATTAGGGTTGTCCACCCCTAACATATTTTTTTTTATTTGGCCATTTTTTTTGTTGTAATGAGGTATTATGTGGTTGAATGAGGTTTTGTTATTTTTATTACATATTCCCTCATCGTTCACAGCACTACATACCTCTTTCACTCATTTACCACATCCTTACACACTTACAATAAGTTAGTTTTTTTTCTACACTAGAAATTCCCTAGAAATCTTATATATGGCAAAACAATGTTTGCCGGGTCAGCTAGTATATATAATAAATAAATCTGTTTTTTGAGGTCGCTTGACAACTATTGTGTAGTGCATGGTACCGCGTTATGTGATTCCGTGACTAAATAAATTAAATTAAATAAATTCGTATGACAGCAAGACCCCTCCGTGATTTGAAGAGTATGAAGCCGAATTCCAATGTTATTAAAACCACGAGGTGTTCTAATAACCGCTTAATATTAAATGGGTAGTGAGCTCGTTTGCTTCCTCTTGTGAAGTTTGTTAAGTATTAATATCAATCTATTGTGGGTAATAAGGTTAATACGCGTTATTTACATGAGTATTAACGTTATTTACAAGATGATATTGAGGCCGATTTTTCTCACGTTGACAATGAAAGTTGTCTAATTAATAAAATAACGTAACTCAGGCCTATTCTTTTTCCAATCTTAACGTTTTTTTTCGACATTTGCAATAGTAAACTTTATTGAAATTTACAAATGTAAATCTTGTGAAATAAATTTTAACACTTTTGCCTCCGATTGTACAAACGAAGTTTCCATCACACGAAAGCATTGTTTGAAATTCTCTGTACGAAATTATCATGAGCATGAAACAATGGTCTTTTAAAATGATATTCATGAATATATTTAATATCCACACAGAACTGTTCAAACTTCATGAAACACGGTTTTTTTTGATAAATATACTAACAAGAACAGCAAGAATGGCAGTAGTAGGTCGGACACATGATTTATATAGTATTAATTTATTATATAAGCGTAACTGGGTAAAGGAATTCGGGTAAAGAAATCTTCTCTCTTATTCGTATTTTTATTTTTTGGTTGACGAGCTCACAGCCCACCTGGTGTTAAGTGGTTACTGGAACCCATATATATTTAAAACGTAAATGCAACACCCACCTTGAGATATAAGTTCTAAGATCTCAGTATAGTTACAACGGCTGCCCCACCCTTCAAACCGAAACGCATTTGCTTCACGACAGAATCAAAATATATAAAGTAAACATACAAAACTCATGATATCATGCGAGAAAAACACCGAAGGCGCTTCGTAACCGAAAGAAATTTACTTAGACGATAATAAACCGAAATATTTCCATGGAAAAATCGCGAGGGTTGAAGTGTTTATTTCGTTTCGCAAGACGGACCCTGGTTTAGGGGCGCGTGAATTTTTTTTCTTTACAATTCGTAGATATGTTGTATACGCTGACGGTTTAGGTATAATGGTATGCTGATTTATCGTTCAATGGATTGATTGTCGTGTGTTTTTGTCGGAGTGAAATTTGATAGCGATTGTACGGATCGGTTTTGTCGCCATGTTTCTGGAGAGCCAGTGATCGGTTACAATGAATTAGAATATGTCGAATTGAATTAGAAAAGGTGCATATTGTTTAATGCTTTCAAAT